GTCTAGGGATCTTAAAAATTGTGTCCCAGGAAATGAGAACAAGTACCAAAATACATATCATGGTGCCCTGGGGTCACGACTGTGGTTATTGGAGGACATCCACAGGACCTTTGCTTCCAAGAGTCTATAATATTATGACATAATTGGCCTTTTCATTTTGGATGCAGAAACATCATTACATCTACTACTGCTCTGTCAAGCCCATTTGGTCAACCATGAGATTTTTTGCTTTGCTTTATTTCATTTTTTTTGTTTTGTTTACAATTTTCAAAAAATCCTCTTCTTGAAAAGAGACACCTGTCAAATTAGCTATAGGACTAATTGTATAAGTTGATTAGTAACTGTGTCACAACAGATTCTTCTATTATGTCAGTGGAAAGGATTTGACCCCTTAAAATGAACAAAGCAACAAAGCAGAAATACCTGCATTAAGCTTCTTGGAGAGAGCGAAATCTGAAACTCCAGAAGTGGGAACTCAATTGCCATTCTCCAAGCCAGTATACTTGGGGCAAAGATGAAGCATTAAGGAAAAACAATTTTGGAATTGGTGCCAGTTTATACTTACCATCCCCCAAAGCACAGGTGGACTCATAAAATCACTAACATTGATTTCCAACAGCATCAGAGGGAACCATCCCAAAAAAAAAAAAAAAAAGCCAGACAGGACGGCCTGCATAAGCTTCAAAGGGAACAGAAGAACAGAAGAGATGGTTGCTAGTAACAGTAGAGTATAATAACAGTGTTAGATGTGTATTACCTGGACAGATGAGCCCAAATGGGAACCATACCCATATTTAGGAGGGGTGTGTACACAACAGATTTTACTAGGGAACATGCAGCTGCTGTCTTCCAATCTCATAAAAGTTGTCCCAGCCCAGGCTGATGTTGCATGCTGACAGCCCCAGCTGTTCTGGAAGCTGAGCCTAGAGGATCTCCAGATCAAGGCCTGCTGGGCCACAGAGAATTGCCTGGGCAACTTACAGAAAGTCTCCAAGTCAAAGCAAAATGAGACCTGGGTGACATACCTCAGGGGTGGAGCACATAAGGGCCCACTGTGTGCAAGGCATTAGGTTCAAACCCCAGCACTATCCACCTACCCATCTACCTACACACATACATACATACATACACACACACACACACACACACACACACACACACACACACACACTTTATGTAGAAGTCAATCCGAATACAAACTTACTAGTAATTTATGATGAATTATAACTGAATGACATATGGCTTTTTTTTTTTCAAAAACTGTTCTTATGAAACTGATCATTCAAAACACAAATAGATAGATCACACCTTTAAACCCAGAAACAGACAGATCTCTGTGAGTTCCAGACCAGCCAGAGATACGCAGTGACATTAATTGTTTTTGTCTCTAAAAATTTTAAATATAACTTTATGTCCTATAATTAATTGTAAGCTCTATGGATTCTATAGTATAGTTGAATGAGTTAGTATCTTACTTGAAATAGATGAATAAACTTAAATGGTAATTTGAAAGTATTTTGTTTTCATAAAAAGTGTAGTTTCTACTGACTTGAAGGCATGGTTAGGAACTTGAATCATGATGTCATCATTTACTCAGGCACATACTTTACTTCTGAACCTTAGTTTCCTTATCTCAAAATGTCCACCTCACAGAATTGTTTTGAAGTTTAAAAAAAAACTTAGGCCAAACTGCCTGTCATAGATGTTCAGCTAGGCAAATCCCATTGTCCCCCAGCACCAGAAAGCTTCATCAACACCAATTCTATGCAAACATAGGGTTTGCAGAAGCTCCTTAAATGAAAAAAAAAAATGTTAGCAAGTATTTATAAGCATCACTGGGTACAGCAATATATCTGTTTAAATAAGAAGCAAAATGTTTTGTGTATTCTAAATTTGCTCCAATGAAGTTATATCATAATAAAATAACGCTTTATGGAAGGTGCACAATTTATGTTCTAAGTGTTCATATGTGAACATTAAAAATCACTTCCGCAATGCGACTTTGATATTTCCTTATAGTGTTTTACAATATTAAACTGGTTTGAGAAAAATAGACCTTACTGCTTAAGCATTATTAACCACTAGGATTATGAACACTGAGAAAGAAGAGACTATATGAACTTATAACGGTGATGTATTAAGCTTTCTTGTATAACGCCACTCTGCATCATACCTGGACTGTTATGGCCTTGTCCCCATTCTCCTCTCCATCTCTAGGCTTCCTTTACCACTGCACTTTAATGCTCCTCAAACAACGATGTCACTTTACCTTTAGGCTGCTTGAACCTTTAACGGGTCTCCGTTTAGCTATAACTGTCCTTTGCAACTGAAGTTAAATGTGTCACTGTGGGATACAGTAGTTCAAGTGAAAAGCAATCCTGGCATTTACTAGAAATATACTCTCGCTCAAACCTCACACTTATCCATGAGTGAACCTGTTGTGGATGGCTTCACATCCTCTTGGCTGGTTTCTATCTGCCTTACTCGTCCATGACTGAAGCATGTTTCCTTGTAATCTTGAATTCTGTTTCTGTGATGCAGGGAAGGGGAGAGAAAGGTGGTGGGTGATGGGGGGGGGAGGGAAGGAGAAACACAAGAACATTTCTGCATTAGAGTTCCATTTATATCAGTATACCATTATATAACTCTTTGAGTCTCTGTTTTTTAAATCCCACCAGAAATAGCAGGCATAATAGTAAATATATGCACCCTCAAGAAAAGGCATAATAATGCTCATTAATAGAATGAAAATTACAAATATTTACAAAGCAGAAACACCAACTCTGCGGTTATAAATGTCATACTCTTTAACCAGCTATGGACTCACTCTGAATGTAGAAAGTCTTCCCTTCCCAGCCTTCCTTTCCTTTCCTCTTTCAGTAATCCCGTTAATGACTTGCATTCATTCATACTGAAGACACAGAGCTGAGCCCTTGTCTAGACCCCATTGGAGTTCAGGGGTCATGTGTCCATCCCCATTTTCCAGAGGAGACTTCCTGTCTGAGGTTTTGGTCTCTTTCAGCAGGTCCCTCTGCCTCTGACATGGCCACGATTCGAACCCAGGTTGTTAGATTTCAAAACTTCCCTAGCACATGCAGCCTTTCACACACATGCCCCTCCGTATCAGGTTTTAAATCGCTGTATTTGTTGTAACTCAGCTACTTTGTTGTATTGGTTAGGACTCTAAAGGGAAAGAACCAATAGAATGAATATGTATTAGGTTATATCGACTGACTCACACGGAATAAACCCAGTTGGTCCAGTGATGGCTGCCTTCACATTGGAGTCGATGCTGAGCTCCTGAGTTTGGGTCTCTCAACAGTCCCAATCTGGCACTGAAGACCTGGGGAGCCACTAGTCCTCAGTCTACCTTAGAAGCCCAAAGTAGCTAGGTTCTGATGTTAGGGAAGGAATGTAACACTGGCAGTGGTGGCAGGACCAAAAGGAAAGATGAACTCGCCAGTAAGAGAGCAAGCAAACAGGCCAAAGCAAAGCCATTTCATCTAGGCCGCCCACACTTAGGGTAGGTCTCCCACTTTGAATAACCTGGCCAAGGAAATTCTTCATGGGTGTGCCTTGCAACTTGCCTTTTAATTGATCTAGTCAAGATGCCAATCGAGATTATCCATAACACTTACCCTACCTGTCCTTCAAAGCCCAGCTTCTAGTGGCATGGTCTGCCCCTGACCCAGCCATATGAAGCCTTAGGTTGTCACTTAGTTCATCGGTTTGTGAAAATCCATCTCTTCATCCGGGAAGTTAGCTCAGTGAAGACCAAGCTGTGTAAACTAGAGTAAATGGTTTCTAAGATGCTGCTCTTTGGTTTGTATTTTTTATTACCATGTCAGTGTTCTGTCCCTAGCAGACACTTAATAAAATGAATGCAATATTAAATTAACAAGTCGTCACAGATAGAAGCCTCTTTCCCCTCTTTAGGATAAGACATAATTCTCAGATTTGAGATTAAATCTTAAAATTTTTTGAATTAACAAGTTCTCTGGAGGCTATTTCCAGTTTAATGAAAAAGGGGAAAAAACTGGTAAGTCAACTTTTTATCAACTTAAAAGGGCTGGATTTGATAGAGGATAACTTGCCTTCTGTCTCTTCGGCTTCAGGGAACCTTTCTTTTCTGTTTTCACTTGCAGTAAATTGTGAAATGCCCACCACCACCCCCACTCCTGTAGCCAGGAGATCACCTAAGAAAAGACCTTAGCCAAGAGGCAAAGGGAAACACCAGCCCCCAAAACAGCCTTGGATCTGATTTCTAGATCCTGGCCATGGTGCTGGGAGATGGCAGGAATTCTCTGGGAGCAGACTGTTGTTTGTTTCTTTGTATGTTCCCCCTGAGGGTTGAAGGTCCTTGGAGAAGGCTGGCGGTGTGCCCACTAAGATTCGTGGTGGGTCCAGAAATAGGAAGTCTTATGTCAGGCTACACTAAAACTTAAGAGCATGTAGCCTTGCCCCCTCTTATCCTCTGTTTCTTGATGTTCACTACTCCTACTAACCTCTTTTAACATGTGATTGTTTTTTCCTGGTGTATGACTTAAAGAGGACTATGTGAATCAGTAACATTGATTGGCTCCTTAAAGATTGGCTCCAATATCTCAATAATCCGTTCTGCCTTAATTCATGCTCTGCAGAATTATGGTATGGTTAAAGTACCTGATAAGCACCAGACTAAATCTCTCCCAAGAAATAACAAGGTGTGTAATTTATAAGACATTTATGTTTCAAATAAATGAGAAACGCTGTGTGTGGAAATAGCTTCAGCAATCACCAGACCTTGGGGGAAGTCTGAGAATTTTGACTTAAATACCTTAAAGAATGTTAGATGAGAGTTAGTAAAACACTTCAAAAAAAAAAATTTCTTAAAGTGAAACGACAAGAGTCTCTCACATATCAGAAGGAGAATTCCTGAACAATGAGGGGAAATAACTCTTTGGAAAGAAACCCTGTTATTTTAATGTTTTGTTCTTCATCGCTGGATCTCTCACATTCAGGAAAATTAGGTGGATTTACACATGAAAATAACACCATAGATTCTGGAGAACTTGATATTGGCCGGAGAGCAATTCAAGAGGTTCCCCCTGGGATCTTCTGGAGATCACAACTCTTTATTGATCAGCCACAGTTTCTTAAGTTCAACATCTCTCTTCAGAAGGATGCATTGATCGGAGTATATGGCCGGAAAGGCTTACCACCTTCCCATACGCAGGTGAGAGTGGGGGTTGGGGCATCAATAAGATCCGGACTCCTAGCTTGCATTTCCAGATGTTACTCTAGCCCTGAAACTCTGGCTGTTAGGTGAAGCCATCACATCTAAATGGATCTTTTGTAACAGAAAGAAGTTTGACTATAGCTTCTAAATCACTAGTAGGAAAAGGGGCTTGGCTTGCATTGCTAATGATTGATTAAAAATGTCTAAAGAACTTAACACTGATCATCTGCTGAGTATCTAGCATACTGTAGATTCTCTGGGATTTTATTGCCATTTCAGGTGATTTTATACCTTTCACATCACAGATGCATGCATATTCATCTTAAATCTATTGCTGTTTGGTTAAAACAGTTCTTGAGATGTCAGGTTTTTTTCTAGTGAAGAAAATATGGAAACACAAGCATAATAGTTACAACTCTCCCAATTCTGACCACCATCAACTTTGGAAATAAAGGAAAAGTAAGATGAATAGATAGACAGTCCATAGAAAACCAGACATGATGGAGTCGAATGTAGTCTAAATCTACAGCACTTTAAAGTCAATTCTTTGTGTGAAAATACCCCCTCATTATAACAACCACAGCCACCAAACTAGCCAACACTACCAAAATGTCCACAGTGGAGCCTGACCCTAGTTGCGCAGACATGTGGTCACAGGCTCTCTGAAGACTGAGGCAGAAGAATGACAAGTTCAAGGCTAGCCTTGGAAACTTAGTGAGATAAATTACAAAGTTAAGAAAATAGACTAAGACTATGGCTTCCCTGAAGTCTTTGAGGCCCTGACATCCTAAGTTCAATCCCAGCTACCACAAGATAATGAAGTCCATAATACTGAGTCATGGAGTAGGTGATTGGGAAAATGTGATTTTTGTTACTTAAAATAGGTCTCATGGGGGATGAGCTATAATAGAGGAGACCCTGAGTTTCAATCTCAATCCCCAGTATGGAGGGGGGGGGTGTTGCATAATATCTAAGAGAAAAATAGTTGAATTATCTACTATAAAATTGAAATCATATTCTGTGATTCTCTATAATCTTTCAGTATGAATTATGAAAATCTGGCCAAATACTAATAAAGAAGTCACAACTTGAAAGAATTCTCAGTATGTTTTCTAAAATATTTATGGCTTTGATGCCTGTGTAATCTTTGACTAATATTTTACAGTATATTCTCTTATCTGTGATATTTAAGTAAATGCCTTGGTTCTTTCTGTGACAAACACTTGTTATAATATAAATGCATTTTTTAAGCTTTAAAATGAACCCCAGTGTGATACGGACTTTAAGCCTCCAAAGAAACAAGATAGACACTAAAGAATGGAAAGCCACCCCATGCTCACAGATGGGAAACTTAACATTGTGAAAATGGTCATTGTATCTAAAGCTATATGCAGATTTAGTGCAATTCCAATCAAATCACCATCTCATTCTTCACAGAGATAGAAGAAAAAAAAAAACTACCAATGAAAAAATAACTACCAATGAAAGTGTAGAACTCCAGTTACTACGGACAGATTGTGTTCACATGAGCAGTCCAGTAAGACACAGAAACCTCTGTCCATGTGAAATTCAGTTCTTTTCCTCCGGTTCAAGGGAGACTCCTATAAGATAAGCACATCTGTGAAGGTGCAACTTAAAGTTTTTTGAAAATCATGTCAGATGAAGCATGTGTGTTGTGTTCAGGCGTGGTGGTGCACACACTTAGAAGGCAGAAGCAAAGGGGCTGTCAGATAAAATGCAAGGCCAGTCAGGGCTGTTTTTAAGAGCATGTGTTGTGTTGCACGCTTAAAAACGTTTGTTTAAGCATATATTTCTGACTTATTGCACAGGATGCATAACACATAAAATTAGGGAAATGAAAGATGCAGTTTCATGTTTTCTTACATTTGTACCATTATTTCAATACAGTGCCCATAATATCCATCTTTCTTTTCTACCACAGTGTATGTATTTGTGTAGGGTATACTTTTTCTTAAGCCTTGGTTATTAGAGTTCCTTCCTCTGGCTTATTCAAGATCAGCAGAGCAAACAGCTGGTTCTGAGTTCAGTGTTTAAACATGAAATATGCTATAAAGCAGCCCAAATTGAACATTTCTCTGTTCCTGGGGAACATTAAATAAATCAACTTGAAATAATTAAAATTGGCCAGCCCCTCAGAATAGTCACTTGAGTTTTGAAAGTCATAGTCTTTGTGACCCTTTATAAAACTGTCCAATTGACCGTTGCCAACGAACCAATTGACTTTCATCTCCCCATTGGTCGATTTATTCTCCTGGACAATTGGAAGCCTAAGGAAGCCGTTCTGTGTTCTACAGCTCCTCTGCTGTAGTGTGTAAGTGCATTTGCCTGAGGCAGAAGCCTGAGTTCTAATCACACCCTTGCCACTTTTTAGTTTTATGCCATGAGTGACTTTGTATGAGTAACTTTATGTCTCCAAGATTCAGTGTCTGTTGGTGAAATAAGAGAATTGAATTGGAAGATTTCTAAAACTTTTTTCTTCTCTGTGTTTCAGTGATATCTAGCAAGGCTCTGCCACCATCAGAAACTTGGAGGGGAGGTTTTTAAAGGCAAGGTGTGATGGCATGTGCTTATCATGCTAGCATTTGACAGGCAGGGCAAGAGGTTTGGTAGCTAATGGCCAGCAAGGCCTGCATAGCAAGGCTGGCCTCAAAAAACAATAGTTGACTGAAGACACAGCCAATCACTTACTGACTCTGAGTTCCCATCAATTTAATAGCGGAAACTGAACTCAACAGTTGGACAGATAGTCTTAGCTCTTCAGAAGTAAACTACAAAGATATCAGAAAAAACTTATTTGCATTTATACATCGGCTGATAAATAGTAAATCACTGAAAAGAACCATAAACCATCTTTTCTTCTGTTGATCTTACACAGTGCCTTGTTAATACATTGAAGTTCTAAGCAACCTGAGAAAGAACTTTAAAGTGTATACCACATGCACATATGTGTGTATACAACACACACACACACACAAGTAACAGCATAAGAATAAATAAGAAAGTTTCCCTGCAATAGTTCCAATTTACCCAGTCCACATGATATATAGCTGTTGTCTGGGATAGCCCCCCACAGGTTGAGACTGAAGAGTTGATATCATCCTGAAAATAGAATAAGAGATCAAGACTCCTGCCAACAAAACTCAGTTCATAGACAGTTCCAGCAGAGCTCATACTTCCCCATGTATGACTGTAATATGCCTGAGGAACTTGGTTATTTTGGGTGCAGATGGTCACAGTGTAAAGAAGGTAGTTTTCTCCAGGTGTTTTTGTCATCTGTGAAGTGTCATGATAACAACCTAGATCTGGGTAGATGGTTAGAAGCCATCAGCCATTTCATGGCTGCCACCACTCTAGAGTCCCATCATTGTTCAAGTGTGATACAAATACCCATCGCTGTGTTGTTGGCAGTGGTGACTAACTGTAGACTTGAAAGGCCAGTTAAAACTCAAAATTTCTACCCTTTCCACATCCTGTTACTGTATATAATGTTAGGATAGGAACATATCTGTGTTGGGCCACAAAGGAAATTTTCCCTATTGCTTTTCCACGATAATATAAATATTTGCTGATGAATAAGTGAAGATGACTTATTTAAGGAGGAGGCACCCTTCAGATTTAAACTTTGTTCTGTTTTAATCATGAGGGAATAGAATTCCAGTGAACTTTTTACAAATAGCCAGAGAAATCATTCTTTTCACTCTTGTAAGAAAATTGAAAAATTTTGAGTGCTAATGAAGTTACCGTATATTTTGCATATGTTTTGCATGTTACTACCCAAAGAACAGAATGCTTTTATTTAAATAAACATTCCAGTAAGTTATGTACTACATCACATATTAATTTCTCTTATTGCAATAATAAATGTCTATGGTATGCACAGTGGTAATCTATCTAAACATAATTCCCAAAAATCCCAACAATTAATTTTATTTGACTGGATTAAGAGAGTCATATAAGAATTTTCCCCCAACAACCATTCCATTTAAAGAACCAACCATAAAATATTAATGATGCACATATATAGTACTACAGTTATGTTTTATGTATAGTCTTTATCTGCAAACATCTGTGAGCTTTTCCATTAAATATGTCTCAGAAGTAAAGTGAAACTGGACAAGTGTGCAACAATAGAATCACTGTACTTTTTAAAGAAGTTATTAGCTAAAAGGTTTATTAAAAACAATATCAGAGAGACTTTTCAGTATTGTTCAAATTCACTGGCATTTGCTAACAAGATTTTACCCAATTGTTGTCAATAATATTCCCTGGTTTAAATTCTCCAGCTCAGTTCTTTTGTCCTTCATTGTCTGTAATTAATAATCGTAGTAAAAACAAGGTAGCTTCAAGAATGGCTGCCATCATGTCCCTTTCTAAAATGTTGTTTCTCCATCCATCAAACCCATCTGATGATCAGTTTATTGACTTTAATAAAGAATATGAAGTCACCTCATTACACATGTGTAACCTGACTGTATTTATGTAAAAATTCCATGAAAGTTTGGATGCTTGCATTAGCATCCCAGGAGAGAAATGTAGTGCTGTGGAGAAAATAACCCCAGCTCTGCAGCAAGGTACACCCAAGTTCATGGACCAACTGCACCACTTTGAACTTTCCACTCCTGAAGAGACCCCAAGAGTAACCATGAGTGCCTTGCCCAAAGAGCTGCTTCCAGGATTAAGACTAATCCGAGTGCAGGGTAGGCAGCATAGTTGCTATACATAAACATCAACTTGGAGTAGATCTTAAGCCGTTCGTAGTCTAAGTAAAATCACATAGATTTCACGTCTATATCCTTAAACTTCCTATATTTGCCAAACTTGTTATCAGTCAGGAGAATTGAATTTGGAAGCCTTAACTCCCTGAAAAGGAAGAAAATGATCACTTCAGTTTAAATACAAGGAGATGCAACATGTGGTCCTTATCCTCATGAATCCCATGCCTAGAAGACTTCTGTCACTTGGACCTGTCAATCAAGAGCTTCCTTCTAACACTGTATTTATTTGCGAAAGAGAAAAGCTTGAAGAAGTAGTGATACATGTGTTGTTCCTCGCAACTAACACTGTTTCCCTTACCCTTGTCCCCAGTACGATTTTGTGGAGCTTCTGGATGGCAGCAGGTTAATAGCAAGAGAACAGCGGAATCTGGTGGAATCTGAAAGAGCCGGGCGACAGGCAAGATCCATCAGCCTTCACGAAGCTGGTTTTATCCAGTACTTGGATTCTGGCATCTGGCATCTGGCTTTTTACAACGATGGTAAAAATCCAGAGCCGGTGTCTTTTAATACCATCATTATAGGTAAGAGCCATCTGCCCTCAAAGCATCCTTTTCCACCAACTGCCTAAACTCTGTGCAGAATAGATACTGATTAACTTTTACCAAACTTGAGTGGTTCCTAGGGTGATGAAGCGTGTGTAAAATGTACTGTTTTTGAATTGTTCCTTTGTGAATATGTGGCAAGTCCTAGAGCTGTGTAAGAAATATTATAAATTACTGTGGGGAAGGAACACTTTAAAAATCTGCATTTGAAGCATCACTGCTTAACATCACTGTAGATAATCTTATATACATGAGTTTATTTGGGAGTTATGGAGTGAGCTGTCCATGATTGCATCAATACCTAACTAAAATGAACAGAGTGACTACTTCTGAGAGAGGCAGGCATCTCACAAATGCTCCCTCTGTCTTTCTTCCTCAGAATCTGTGGTGGAATGCCCCCGAAATTGCCATGGAAATGGAGAATGTGTTTCTGGAACTTGCCATTGTTTCCCAGGGTTTCTGGGTCCGGATTGTTCAAGAGGTATGCCAGTTAGATTCTCTTCTTAAGCTGATCTAAGTAAGCTGTAGAAATACATCCAGTTGAGAAAACTTAGCAACACAGGAAGGGGGGGCATCATTTGTTCTTTAGGAGGCTCAATGGAAAACGTGGCTGTTGATCCTTCTGTCATGTTATTTCACAGCAGCCTGTCCAGTGCTCTGTAGTGGCAATGGGCAGTACTCCAAGGGCCGCTGCCTGTGTTTCAGTGGCTGGAAGGGCACCGAGTGTGATGTGCCGACTACCCAGTGCATTGACCCGCAGTGTGGGGGTCGTGGGATTTGCATCATGGGCTCTTGCGCTTGCAACTCGGGATACAAAGGAGAAAATTGTGAAGAAGGTAAACATGTCAATATTTACCGAGTCCTATTGTTATCTCCATAAAAGAAACATTAAATCTTCAGTTTGGCAAATGAATCTCTCTTTCGCATGCTTCTTTATGAAAGCAATTTTATTTCCATATTTATGAATGCATTGTTTTATTAATGTTTTGACTAATAAAAAGAGCGAATACCAGCGAGCCCTTTTGCTCTGTTTCTGTAACATGAATAATACTTTTTTCTCACTCTGAGAAAGCAAGGAAGCATTTGTGTCTTGAAACCCAACAAAGGACTGGCTTGTTGTTGTTGTTTTTTAGCTTTTTCCATTGATGCTGACCTCTTTGGCATCTCTAGAAAGAACAGTTGGATATAGTGTGATGAATAAGAGCAACTCTGTGCATTTGTTCCCTCATCCTATATGACGATAGAGTCCAGACCCTGTGCTGTAAAGTGCAGTTAAACTGGGATTTGGGGTATTTTGGTTTTTCCAGAAAGCAAAAAAAGCGCCATTTCCGTTCTCCAATCAAATTGATTTTATTGATCTTCACTTACAAAGTAATGCAATTAAGTCTCTGGAATTAAATTTTCAGGCCATTGACCGTACAAGTGTAAAGTTTTATTGAGTCAAATTGCTAAATTAAATCTCATCATCTAAAGCACATTAAAGTGAATTAAGAAGGATAGAGTGTGCAACTCATTTATTTCTCGAACAATTTGAGGATCCCATACAGCTGTCAGCACTCAGTGAGCATGGAGCAGGTCAGCATGGACAGGGTCTGTTCTCGAAAAGGCAGTAGTTATGACTCTGCTTAGGCAAAGTGCAGAGCAATTGTCTGAACCCTAAAGAGCATGTTTGTCTAATCCATGAAGATGACAAATCCTTGCAAGGTCACAATTGCCTAAATGGCATCGGATTGGTTCTTAATGCTTGGTTGTGTTACAGCTCTCTGCTTTCTCAGACACAAGTTCTTGAGAATGGTGAATTGATGTTTGATTATCTAAAACATTCCCATGAATTGAGAGTTGGGTTTTTTTTTTTAGCCTTCATATGTGAAGCTATCTTTCAGCATAACAAAACTCTTCTCATCTCTTGACACTAGCGGACTGTCTTGACCCTGGATGTTCTAATCATGGGGTGTGTATCCATGGGGAATGTCACTGCAATCCAGGATGGGGTGGCAGCAACTGTGAAATACTGAAGACCATGTGTCCAGACCAGTGCTCCGGCCATGGGACATACCTTCAAGAAAGCGGCTCCTGCACTTGTGATCCGAATTGGACTGGCCCAGACTGCTCAAATGGTGAGGTCAATTGATATAATGCAATCGAGTATTCACTGTAATTTACTCAAGGTCTGGGATATTTGACTTTTTAAAGCATACTTGGTTTAGAAATATAAATGTTTAAAGCAATGAGGTAGTTATTCTTTATAAGAAGGAAATAAATGTAGGTAATTTATTATTAAAAATCTCACTATTGGGGAGAATTGTCATTCATCTGATAAGACGGCTCTGACTTCACCACTCTCACTAGATGGAAATACTGATTTAGACTAGTGTCTATAGATCTGTCTACAGCTTGAGGATGGAGGCCCATTTAGGGGTTGGTGGTGGCATAATCAAGACAGGCCCTCATGTAGCCCGAGTTGGCCTCACACTTACTACGTGAGAAACTGGCCTTGTACTCACAGTCCAGTCTATATCCATGACTGTAGATGTGTGCCACTGTGCCCAGAAACTCAGGCACTTTTTCTCATGAACAGATAACCTGCAACTTAAAAAGATCAAACTTGCCTGACAACAGAAGGCTAAACATAATCACATCAAAAAGTATATAACATATAATAGCTCAACTCAGATTTTAAATTATGATTATAAGGGAATGCCAGCAATATTATCCACTAGTATACAGATACTTGCACATACTCGGGCATTACTGAAATGGACATTGTACAAAATGTATTTGCCGCTTTTTTTTTTTTTTTTTTTTTTTTTTTTTTTAATGCTAGTTACAACTTAGGAATTAATTCCATGATATTCCCAGTCATTAGTCACACAGTGTGAGAAGATGCCTTTCAGCTTGGAAAATTACAGTTTTAATTGGGAGTGAAGATGAGCACATGTGAACTAATTAGATGCCAGTATAATATCATACCAAGTGTTACATGGAGTAATTCACTAAACTCAGAGGAGTAATCCCATCTTGATGAACACTGGAAACTTTCACTGGGACTTCTATTAACACTTTTGCCTTCATTTAAACATGGCCATCTCAGGGGAGGGGTGGGTAAGGGGCCATTTGTGACTCAGGAAACTGTTAGAAAGTATGAAGGACTTGCACTGTGAAATGGGATACATGTGTTCACAGCCAAGTCCATTTCATGCATCTTTAGTCTTTAGAAAATTACTATGTGTCTCAGTTTACTTGTAGTAAACTGGTGCTACAGGGTGACCTGATGTATGTACTTAGTATGAGCTGCCACACCTCTAATCCCAGCTCTCCATGGGCTGAGACCAGAGAAACAAAGGTTCAAAGCCCATCTGAACTTAATATCAAGATTCCATCTCAAAAGATAAAAATAAAACAAAACCAAAGAGTACTTGGCACAATGGATACAAACAAGTAGCACCACAGAATGATTTTTAATAATGAAATCCAAATATTATTTCTACCACTCCTGTAAATGCAGCTTGGAAACTACAGTTGTGCGAGAGTTGTACAATGGTAATTAAATTCAGGGTCGCTAAGGGATGAATGGCACACAGAATACAGGTTCATGCACAAGTAAGTGTTGATGCTGTGATAGTGCTCAGGACATTAGCAAATAAGTAGTGGTGTGTAAAGATGAACTATATCGTGTTTCCATTCCTCATCAATCCAAAGGAGCTTCAAAGTATTTGCTTTATTCCCCAAATAGCAGAGCCATAGAATGAAATTATTTTCTTTATTAATATGACCTAGTAGTGTAAGGTAAAACAAAATACTGCCATGCAGACTGTTCAGATTTTTGGTTAATATTTTCCCTGAAGATTTATTCATTTATTTCTATGTGTGCTTTGTCTGCATGTATGTATGTGCACAATGTGCTTGCCCAGTACTCAGAGTGACTAAGAAGAAGGCATAGAATCTCCTGGAACTGGAGTTCCTGACTGGTGCAAGCTGTCATGTGGGTGCTGGGAACTGAACCCAGGTCCCCTGCAAGAGAAGCCTGTGCTCTTAACTGCTGAGTCCTCTCTCCAGCCACACATTGCCATGGTTTATAAAGACCAGGTTGGGGGGAAATGTGAGCTTTATAGATTCCGTTCTCCTGGCATTCTGAGAAACTTAGGTGGTATCTCTTCTCCCCAGTGATCAAAATCTACCAGGCAAATTCATCTAATTCTTCCAGTAGAACCCTGGAAATAAGAAAATTTTCTATAAGCTTATTTGTACAAAGTTTCTTTTCAACCAAGAGTAAATTTCTCCTCTCTGTTTTCTCCTCCCTCCCTCCTTCCTCTCACTCTCTCCCCTCCCCTCACTCCTCTCTCTCCTTCCCCTCACTCTCCTCCCTCCCTCCCTCCCTTCATCCCTCCTTATCCTCCTCCTCTTCCTCCCTCCCTCTCACAATCTTCTCTCCTCCCTCCCTCTTTGATTGACACTCCATCATTGTCACTCACCTCTCAAAGCAGACAGAATTTATTGTGTGTTTATGCCTGTTTTGTCAAAATAATAGCCCAAAACTTTGGTTAGAAAATTCATGACTGCCAGCTGTCTAGGTTGTAGAAGAGCCTTAAGAGTTTTAGGAGATCCTTGCCAACAGCTTTTTATCAATCATGAGTGCAGGCAGGACACTAAGTTTGTATACATTCAATTTGTCCAGATTTCTTAAGAAATACAGGTTTTAATTATAAGAATCAAAATAAGCATTCATTTATTTCTGAATTGTTACTTACTTACATTTCTAGGTCTTATTCCCTCCCCCCCCCCAAAAAAAAAAAGAACGGGAAAAAGAAAAATGCATGCACAAAGAAAATCCTGTTCAGTTTAATATAGGGATGAGTAAGTCTCTCTCTCTTTCCCTCTCTCTCTACCTCTCTTGAGTGCAGGTCTAGTAACACTCACTGTTATGTAGCCCTTGCTGGGATGCCATCATTCCAGTCTGCTTTACACACACACACACACACACACACACACACACACACACACACACACACACACACACACGTATGCAAGCGCACTCCCTGTAAAGTAGCTCTTGATAGGATGTTGTCATTCCAGTTTGTTTCACAATCTCATCCAAGCAGCAGAGGAGCAGATGGAATGCCCACTGGCTTTGTTCCGTGTAAATCTTACACGCTAAATGACTAAAAATGGCATCCATCTTCATAAAATCATCATGCCATGAATAGCAAAAATTAAATGTTAGTTCAAAGATTGAACTGGCTATCCATCTCGTGTATTATTTTATGTGTTTGGATCTGATGCCATCCATGCTGATATAGTGACTTTACAGTTGAGAATCAAAATAAAAATTCTATCTAAATTTAAAAAAAAAAAACTTTTAAAATCTAAATACAAATAGCAGGTGGGAAATCTTTGTTTCGTTCATCTTTATGTCCTCAATTCAAAGCAGAAGTGTTACACGTTAAACTCAGTGTATAGGTGAGTAAGAAATGAAGTATTCTTCTTTTGGAGAATAAATACAGAAAAGTATTAAACTTAATTATCATCTGTGAAAGACAGAAACCTCAATGTAAATCACAGTGAGCTCAAAGTGCTCATGCTCAGCCTTTGAAACCATCCTGTCTCATGTCCACCCCATTCATCTGCTGCTTTGTAGTTCTGATTTACAGCTTATCCCAACATTATAGCTCACTCATGTATGTGGCTCAACATTTACCAGCAGTATAAATCTAAGGTTTTTAACCAAATGAATCCAAAAAAAAAAAAACACTACCTGCTACCTCCTTTGCTATTGTGAAAATGAGCTTCAGATATCTAGATTGAATAAGATTGTGGAATTTATAACCAGAACATTGGGTAAAGCTATTAAAAGAGGGAGAAAAAATGAATTATTTCCATGGAAAGTTTGAAGGCAACAGAGTTTCCCTCTATCTTCATCAGCAGTGTGTCCATTAATTAGCCCTTCAATTCCACTTCAATTAAATTAACTCTAATTAATAAGTTCATTACAAAGATTGACGCACCTTGCTCACAGCCAGTGTGTTAGATGCTGATAAACAATTTCACCCTAATGAAAAATTGATCCCATTGAATAAAAGGGAGACCTCCAGAAGACACCCCTGTTCTGATGCTGAGCAGATGTTGTGTTGCTATAAAGTTAATCAAACCATCTAGGTCTCTCAATAAAAAAAATTAATTCAAAGGTTATAAAAGAACCTAATATAGGGTAGAAAAGAGACTCGACTCTCTCTCAGTTAACGCACCGAGTGTTGTTCAGAAGAAATATTACTGTCCTTAGAATGCCTTACCATGCTGTCAAAAGTAGATAAGGATGTAGATAAGGATAGTACTCAAGAAATATCATTTGGGGACTGAGTGTGGAAATAGGGTTAAGTGACGATATAAATGCTTACTGCATTTCATTTTAAAGAAATAAGGCAACCATCCCTTTTCTATTTGTTAGAAATGATTTTGGAATGAAAATTCAAACTGGAACAGTAGTTTTGCAGTCTGAGAATAAAATCCACAGTTAACTTTACACATAAAGAAAAAAACCTCAAATATCCTTCAAAATTTCCTCTCCCTCTCTCGCTCTTTCTCAGTTAGACCTAGTTAAATAAAGCTCTTAAGAAAGCTATATAAAAAAATTACTTCAGACATCTGAATTCTCTTTAAAGGTTTAATCCAGTGTTATACAATTTGAAGGCATTCGGTCATTGTGCGCCTTACAAAAATTCCAGCAGATTAAATCTTTGTCTTTCAAATGACAGAGTTGATGTGTATATATATTATTAAACTGGTTTTCTATTATGTGGGCTAAGCAATTTGTAGCTGTCAAGAGTACAAATTTACTAAATAGGAAAAACAACATTTCCCCTTATTTAACCAGCATGCCTGCATGTGTGAACAAGCTAATGCACTTTCTATAATAGAGTTGCCTTAAAGTTTCTGAATATTTAAAAAAAAAATTTAAGCCATGGCTTTAGCAATCAGCCCTTTTCATTTCTCAGTAACTGTATAATGCAATTTCTGTTAAGTACTTGACACACTTAGCTACTCAAACATCTCATCATTTTGGTGTGTATGTTTTTTCTTGACTGCAAAGGGATAGTCTTATATATTTATATAGGACTATTCTGTGTTACGTGTATAAATGCCTTTATATATAAAGAAATTTTCCCAAATTATTGTGTGTTTTATATACCCACATAGCCACGTATAAAATTAAAGATGAAAGAATGTAAAATTCTACCATTCATCATGCCTACTCATTGTAGCTAAAATTAACTTGATGTACAGGACTTGGGGTTCATAATGACTTTGCTGTTCACTTTGACAAATGTAAGACATAGCCCTAAATAATGCTCCATCTCACCCCCAACCCATTCTTTTCTCTTGCCTGAATTCCTCTTGTTGCAATACAGAAATATGTTCAGTGGACTGCGGCTCACATGGTGTTTGTATGGGAGGCACTTGTCGCTGTGAGGAAGGCTGGACCGGACCAGCATGCAGTCAGAGAGCTTGCCACCCTCGCTGTGCTGAACATGGGACCTGTAAGGACGGCAAGTGTGAATGCAGCCAGGGATGGAATGGAGAGCATTGTACGATTGGTACGCCAACTGGACTTCTAATTATTATCTATTATATTCTTTTCTGTGCTGGAACCAATCCCATGTACATGATAGACAAGCAATCAACCACTGAGCTCCACACCTAATCTTTAACCTACTCTTCTCTATCCTCCATTTACTGCAAAAAAGATCAAATTGTGGGCTGTTTTTAATTCACCTCTTCAAATTAGTTTTTTTTAATTTTCATATACACAAAGAGGAATTTTGTTTTCGATTACTCTCTACATTTTACAATGTTAATTCATTTCTTGTTAGAGGAAACCCACCTGAATGGGAGATATAAGAATTAGCATCTCTTGCTTAGTATAATGACCAAAAAAAAAAAAAAAAATAGACTCACAGAAGGGAATTTCAGATTTTTGTTTATAAGCCTTACATTTTAGTCAGTTGCTATATACACTTATACACAGCATCCACAGAGATCTTCCCAGACAACCGTGGCTTTGCTTCCTCATAAATTCTGGCTGCTAGTGTTCTATATTGATATTGCACCTCCTAATAGCAATCAGATTTTGTACTTTACATTGTTTTTTAACTTTACCAAGTCCGTAGACTTGCTGATCTCTAGAATCACCTGTCTTAGTCTTCTATCAAAGAGGTTTAATTTTTTTTCTGCCTTTACACTGTGATTTCACTAGAAGTAAAATAGAATAAGACTAAGTATAGCTGTTCTTTTAGGCCTGACACAGCTGTAAAAGAAAAAAAGGGGTGACGAAAGAGGGTTGTGCATCACCAATATTTAACATGGATTCAAAAGTTTCTAGAACAAATAAAATACTGTCTTTTCAACATATGCAATATTCCCTTACCAAATTACAGAATTAAAATGCTCAGCTAATAAAGTGCATTAAAAAGGTAAAGGAAGTCATAAATCCCTGCCTGACTTCATTATCCATCACTGATTATGATTGTCAGGCTGACAAAAATTTCAGAAGGTAAGGCACCATGTTTTCTGAAATATTTTGTGTTCATAGGGTAAAACTTGATGGAACTATTTGGGAGCATGTCAGTAATTTAAACAATGTATTCTTCCAATGTGTCTGTATGATATATATATATATATATATATATATATATATATATATATATATATATATATATATTCTGCTTACAGGAATTGGGTAGCAAGAAATTCCATCATGGAAAAATTGAAATCACATGTGTGTTTTGAGTGTCATAATTCTGCAGTCATGTGCAAATACCTACCCCACAATTTAGCACAATTCTGTGTTTACCAATTTTATAGAGGGTCCCTTACAATGTTGTTGGTATCCCTGAAATCCATTTCAAGGGTCCCACCACACCACCATGTTTGGTGAAGTCCTGTGAAGACTCTGGGACTTAGAGGTGACTGTAGTTTATGGAGATCAGAAAGAAGGAGAGATGTATCAGAGTCCTTTAATTGTGTTGCTTTATACTCCAGCCTAGGAAATAAGGGGCCTGCTTGAATGTGAATGTTTTAAAAGATGTAGAGCCCCTTTAGAGCTAAGGCTTTATAGCTCAGTGGTAAAATGTTTACCCAGCATACACAAGGCTCTGGGTTCAATTCTCAGCACCACCAAAAAGAAAGGCGTAAAGACCCTTTTAAATCCTGCTTTGCTCTTTCATGCTATTAGAGTGTCTCCCATTTTGTTTTGTTTTTTGTTTTTGGTTTTGGTTTTTTCAAATTGCCCCTTCTGTCTGCTTACAACCTATATGTGTGCCCCAAAAAGCCTAAGGACCATTTGTGAGATGCTGGTGAAGCAAGCAGGAAACGGTGGAGTGCCTTCTCGTTTGGGACAATTACTAGTCTGTGCAGGTCCTCTCAATTCAAACATACATCTGGCTGAAAGAAATGTCATCTTAGGAGAGACTACTCATAAATCAGCAAGATTCTCTTTTCCTTTCTCCATACTGTGTGTCATTTCACAGAATACAGACAGGGAGGTTAATTGAAAGAGAGGTGGGGGAGAAGAAATGAAACAGTCAGAAGCCAGCACAGGTTCTCAACAGAAAACAAAAGAATATTCATTAGTCATCTTACTGTCTTCATAAACTCAGTCCATGCTTTCATAAAGCCATGGGCATGTTGATAGAAAAATAGTTAGGTATTCAGCATACTTACCGGACACTTTCTCTAACCTCAGGGGGTGCCATCCTGATATATTTATTAGCATACTCATATTTTCCTCTTGTTACAAATCACAAGTCCGGGAAATTAGGCGTGTTCATCCACAGGACTTGTGCCAAGTCCTCCTTTCTTGGGTTACACTTGGACTAGTGATGCATGCAGATGGAAAATGAGCAATGGGAGACCTATTTTCAGCAATACTGTGATTAAAAGAGACATCTTTCTCTGCCTCCATGGAAGGCACTTAGGATTGTTGGACCCTTTATGAATAAAGGGACAAAGGGAGTTTTAATGAAAGAGCCACCCTGTATAGGCAGCAATACTTGCCATTAACATTATTTGACAGTCACAGAACATAACACTTATGTAGCTGTGAGGTCGCAGTGACATCCCTTTAGGCTGTGGCTCACCCACAGGTGAAAAGATTATCCTACAGTTGTGTTGCATTTGGTTTTTCATGAGATAGGAAGGAAACATGTAAGTATATTATAGAGGACCCCTGCACCAAGATGAAAATCTGTGAAATGTAGTTAAATATCTTACAAGTAATAGTTGGCATAGTTTGAGTATCATGTGGCTATTACCATATTCAGCAAGAGTAAACAATTCTGTACTGTGAGAGTTGAGGCAAGTCAAGTTTAGAACACGTGTCTGATTTTTTGTGGTGTTTTCTTCTCCTGCCAGGTCCCACCACTTCAGCCCCAAATGAACACACTGAGACACTATATTAATTATTAAACTGTTGGCTGATGGCTAGGGCTTCTTATTGGCTATCTCTGTCTTAATTATTAACCCATTTCTATAAATCTATGTATTTCCATGTGGTCTTGGCTTATGGGAGAATCCCCAGACCTGTATCTCCTTTGGTGTCTACATGTTGTCTGTTCCTGGCAGGCTCTCTCTGCCTACATTTCCCAGAATTCTCATTTCCTAGTCCCACCTATCTTCCTGCCTCATTGGCCAAACAGTGTTTTATTCATCAATCAATAAGAGGAACATATGTACAGAAGGACATCCCCCCCCATCCTCTGATAGTGCACTGGAGACTTGAGATGAGATGGAGACATGAAGAGGTCATCAGGGTGTTGACTAACATTTGATTGTTCTCTGCCATAGAGAATGCTCACAAAGGACCAGTAGGCTTTGCAGCTGGATGAGTGTCTTCTCCAGTTGATCAGTATTTTCTGTTCCTCCAGGGAACCAGAAAGGAGAAAATGGGCTTGTATTAGTAACATTGAAGAGCCATGGGTTGGAGAACATACTTCAGTCTTAGAATAAGATCCCTCTGAAATATCTGAATCTCTGTTCCAGTAACTCTTGACAATTTCAGAATTCTGTAGCTGTGGCGTGGGGGGTTGGAGATTCACTCTCCCCTTTTGTGGTAAAACTTTGGGATTCATTTTAGAAGGGAGTCGGTTTTTAACTTCTTCCCATTCCATTTACTATTCCACGGGATTAAATCTCTTGGATCCTTGCCCTATCTGGAGGACCCTTCGGGACATTTTCAGTTCTAGAATGTCTTAACCGTTGATGGTCTCTGCTGACCATGCATAGTTAGTAGACATAGCACAGGGTTCCCTTACTGCCTCAATTTCCTTTTGCCTTTTCATTTTACCATAGGAGTCATCACTTTTTAAGAGGTCCTGAGATCCATTTTGTAGATATCACCTGCACCCCTCACTTCTTACTTGTAAATTCACTTTCTTGCCCAAGAAGCATCATTGAACAGCTTCTCTGTGATACATATTTAGTGCTGTTCTGTTTAAGGGGCTATTTAACTTAAGAAAGGAAGAAAGAAAGAAAGAAAGAAAGAAAGAAAGAAAGAAAGAAAGAAAGAAAGAAAGGAAGGAAGGAAGAAAGAAATACATAGGCTTTGAATTTTTCAAAGATATGTCTTTAAATCATTTCTGTGATTCGGCATGACTTGTGTCTTAACTGTTTTTAGCATCAGTTGGAGTCTTTCTAGTGGAAAGTGATGGTAATAATTATTTATGTGAGATTTTTAAAGTATACCGTTCTGATTTCTGAGAGCCTGAAGACTTGTGTCCTTGCTGAACAGTTCGGTTAGGTGACCTTGAGCAGTTCATTATACTCTCCATATGTGTTCTCTTAACGCAGATAGTGAATGTTACATGCATCAAAGGTTTGTTTGAAGTAAATGAAATGCTATCCTATGAATTACAGTACTTACTCGAGTGCCTGTAAAGAGAGTTCAGTAGCTTTGAATTTTGGTTTTCTTAGTAAGTGAGACGAAATTGCAGCCCAGACCATGGTTTAGGTGTTGACATTTAAAAAACAAAACAAATGTGAAACCATTAAGGTCTGGTACAGGCCTCTAATCCCAGAACTCGGGAGGTTGATAAGGAAGGACCACAAGTTCAAGCCCATCCCAGGTACATAACAGGACACTGACTTAAAATGCATAATTTAAAAACAAAACAAAAAAAAAAAAAAAAAAAAAAAAAACCAGCCAAAGGCATTTACTTAAAGAGTTCATAGAATTCTTATCTTGTTGTTAATGAGACAGAGCATTTGTCAGGATGGATGTTAACAAAAGCCTGTGAGATGGGGTGGGGTTTAGAGAGTTGTTTTTGAAAATCATGACATAAGAAAAAAGATATGGGCGTAGTATGGAATTTTTCTTCTAGTAATGTTTCAACTACAGAGCTGTTTATTGAACGACATTGATTTTTCATGTACTTTGAGGCAATTCAAATGGAAATTTGACCTAGGGGAAATACTAATTCCTTAAAGCTACAAAAGACTAGCTATTTGTTTTTATTCTAATTCCTTAGTATGTTGGGAAACATTAATGATCACAGAGACATGCTGGTTTGAGCAGACAAAACTCAGACACACTGAACTGCAC